AAACTTGTCATTTTATCTATTGCACTAAATACTTAAAACTTATTTAATTGAAACAGAAGTTTATTAGCTTTATTTACAATTTACTTATATATATTAAAAGTATTTAAAAATAATAAGTTTTAATAATTACAAAAATGATGCAATAATATTATAGTAAAATATTCTTTCAATATTTTTAATTCAAAAAATTTCATTTTACTTTATGAAAATGCTTTAGTATAATTGTTAAATTTATCAGATATAGATTATATTAGAATATATTTAGATAATTAAAAATATTTAAAATTTATATAATAACTTAGTAAAGTAATAGAGTTGTTTATTCTCTAAGTAATAACCTAAAGTTCAACTCTTAGTGATGATAAAATTGAATAATTATTTGTATTATGACAATTGTCTTCTAATAATTGATTGAAATAGATATCTGTAATTTGATCATATCAACATATTGTGAGGTTATAAGATATCTGTATAAATCAAAATATTATACAAAAAAATGCAAATTAGTACTAGATGATGCAAACTCAAGATAAGTCCCAATAGTCATATAAATCTAAAGAATCAAAAAATAAAAATTCACTTGGCAAGGCCCAAATACGGATATAATAACTGCCTACAACAATGTTACTATAAAGGTTAGACTCTAGAAACAAATACTCAGCAAACTAATCAAACAAAACACAGTCTGTTAAGGTAAACAAACTACCAACTAAACTACTGTATAATTTATAAAAAATATTAATTTTATTCTTTACTGATTAAAGTTGTTAAATAATTTTTTTAGTTGAATTCAATCTTAATAACCTATAATTGCTTCATTAAAAAAATGAGAAATTAACAGAAACTTTAAAATTATTGACTAATTATAATATACTAATTTTTTTAAACAAAAATAACTTAATTTTCTGTCCAAATGAATGTAAAAATTCATGTATATGCATATTTGACAACTTTAGTTTGATTGTCTCTATGAGGTGGTTTTATAATATCACATTTGCAGTTTTGTATTTACAAATCAACTCCACAATATAAAACCTTTGACAACTAAAACAACTCCCTTGTTTGTATATAAGTTTTGTATCTAGTGCATCTACAATTAACATTAAAATGATTATAAAAACAAAATAAGATACATTGCAATAATTTGTTTATACGTATAATGACAATGATAGTGAGCATCACGCACTTATCGGTGCGAGGTGCTTAATTGTTACATGACTAATGATATGAAAATCGCAACGGACATCAATAATTATCTAAAATATAATTTTGAAAACAGCTTTAAGAACAGGAAATCGCAAATATCTCATAAATTCGCTATGGAAATTAGCATTTTGTTATTAAGTAAAAGATTTTGGCAAACATTAACATTTAGACAAAAAGTAGAATATTATTTTTGTTGGATAAGTTACGGGACCGCCAATTTTTTGCGCAATGACTATGGTATTCCAAATTTATTTTTAATTCTTTGTGAAATTATACGTAATTATTGTACTTAATCTATGACGGATACTCACCGTTTTTAACCTAAATCAATAATACCGATAGCCAATCGGAGTATGTCTCATTAATGGAAGTCCACTTGTGTAACGTATTACATGTACAATAAGAGTTACTATATATGATCATACAGTCCTCGAAGCCACAATTTTATACGTAATGTATTCTCGCTAAAAATTCAAAACGTTAACATCAACACAAAAACAAAAATTAATTTATCTTTTCTCATGGCATCAAGAATATTTACGGGTGATATGCCCGAATTAATGGAAAATATTCTTAATAATTTAAGTAATAAATTTGATACTTTATATTCATGTGCACTTGTAAGTCGGCATTGGTGTAAGATGTCAATTCCTATTCTTTGGAGTGATCCATTTTCATTTGATAAAGAACCAAAATTTATATCACGATACTTTTCATTTCTTAATGATGATGATAAATTTATTTTAAATGAATGTGGAATAATTATTGATTTTCCTAATACTTTATTTCATTATGCAAAATTTTTAAAAGTTCTTGATTTATCACTTTTAGATGATAAAATTCAAGAATGGATTAAATCAGTTGTTAATTTACAAAAACTTATTTCAAAATATGATATATTTAATTTATTATTTAAATTATTTATTGAAAGTGGAGCCACTTTATCTAAATTAGATATTCATCTTACCGACGTTATTATTGAATCAGAAGTTTTTTACTTATTAGGACGAAATAATGATTTTTTCTCTCGACTTCAAGATATTTCTGTTGAAGTAGTAACTGAATTATTTGGAATTGGTGAGGCTATTACATTATTGAGAATTTTGGCAAGAAATATTACGAAACTTAATACTTTGGAACTTCATGTATTAAATAATGAGTCACAAATGTATCGTGCAGTAGCAAACATTATTAAATCACAAGAACAACTTAGACGATTTGATTTAATCTGCGAAACAGACTTACATAAAGAATTTTATGGTATAATTTCAGCCTTAGAAAGTCAAAGGAAATCATTACAAGAAATTAAGATATGGAACTGTGATTATAGTACAGAGTTTGAAGTGTTAATGAATTGTGAGAATTTAACAACAGTTCGTATAATAGATTGTGGAGAAGAAAAGAAATTATTAAATGCATTAGATACTAGTCTTTATAAAATCAGCACTTTAGAAATAAGTTCACATACGATTAATGCACAGAATATAATACAAATTTTGGAAAAATCAGGATCATTATTACAACGATTAAGAATTTATTCAGAGGATCAAGAAATTTGTTCACAATCATTATTATTAGATACACTTATGACATTCTGCCCAAATATTATATATCTTGATATTTCATATATTAAATTTTCAACACAACTTTCAAAATTTATTGACAAATTACAAAAACTTCAATTTCTTACCTTAGTATGGATAAATGATGGATCAGAAGAAGAAATGAAAGGACGAGTTATGGAATTTGCTAAAATATTACCACAAACATTACAATATCTTAATTTAGGAGATAATTGGATAAATTCCCATATTGACATTTTACTCGATAATTGTAATGCGCCTTTAAAAAAATTATTATTTAGTATTAATTATGATTATGATTATGAGAAAACAATTGAAGCATTAATCGGATTTTGTATACGAAAAAAATCGTTGAATGATGTGAATGTATCCAGATATGTGAATAAGACTACATATGTGTTTAGATTTAGAAGCTCGAATGTAACTAACAATAATTGGAAGAAAGTCCAAAAGGATTTGGAAGGTTATGTTAATTTGGTGCCGTATGAAAATATTGTTATCGATTGTTAGTTTATGTATATAAGGTATATTTAATTATGAGTTATATGATAATATAAATCTTTTATTAACACAATTAATAATTATGAAATTATCTCTTATACTTTTAGATGGCAAACGACATAATTAGTTGATATATGTACTAGAATATAACTGCCTCAATGTATCGCTTTTCCTCTTTCTTGAATTTTTTTTTCTTTTTGATGGTTTAAATGGGTGTTCGAACCCGTAGAATTTGCTTACCATCAAAAACGGTTCCATCATTTTCGAATCGAAGGTTCACCGAATATTTACTTACGTTGTGGGTTTTATTTTCAATTTTAACTATTAATCCGTAACTAAGGTGGCAGCACAATTGTTAGGTATGCCCAAGGCATGAATCGATTCTTTGTTTCAAAAGATTATAATAGTAGCTTTCAATTTGACGTTTTCCAGAAATTATACAAAAATGACAGGAGTCAGATTTCAGTACGTTTATCAATGATTAACAAGACAGTGTTGCAAGATGTATGTCGGCATTTTATGAGTAATTGAAAACAATCACATCTCATTCGTTTGTTTAAATACCAAATTCGCAATCTTTGGTTGTTTTTGATGAATTAAAATATCTTGAATTAAAAAAAAATTGTCACGATTAATACATGCAACAGTTAACATACAATCTCAGTGAATGACATGTAACCACAATGAATTAAAATTCACGAACATGTAATAGATTCACTTGTAAGGTCTTTATGAATAATATTTTTATAGTGTAATATAAAGTCCGAGCACAATCCTTCAGCAATATATTATATAAGTATTCTCGAAGTTAATAACCATGTTATGATGTCCATTGTGGTCTATTTATTTGCAATACGTCTAAATATACTCTTCGTGACTTCATAGAAGGTAAATAATATTTGGATTATTTACATATTGGTTATATCGACATACTAAAAATAAATCATCCGATATGTTCAAACTCTAGTTCGAATGCCTGTTTAACCAGAAGGGTCACTTCTTAATTAAAATAAATGTCATTTTATCTGTCATGCTTTCTTAATACTATCAAAATTGTAGAGATAAGTTGTTCTAACTCTAAGAATGATAAAATTAGCTCATAAACCGTGAATAACTCTAGTTTATCACGATTCGAATACTTAGAAATCATATAATTCTGAGTTTAATCCGTGAGTCACGAGTTGAAACGAGTCCAGTCACTAACCGTGAAATATTGATTTCGTAACTATATGATTCTTTACCTAGATCATTTTAAATTAATACTTTGCTTTTAACATCATCTCTTTCATCTCCAAGGTTTAATTCTCTTCCTTTTTGGTAAATATCAATGAAAAAACAGCTTTTATTTAAACGATCTTATTGTCAAAATTGGCACACCAAAGTCTTTTTACTATTGTTTTTTTGTCCATTTTAATCACAGCTTACCCTTTAAGCTCATAATTAAAATATCAATAGATCTCAACTTTCAATAGAACCAATTGGGTAAAGCTTGCAGTTTTTACATTTAATCTAAAATAAAATAGATTGTAAAAGAAGTATTATAAAGTAAAAGTTTTAAATTTTACGAACTCAAATCAAATATAAAAGATAATCTAACATCTAACCAATTTTAATAGAAGTGCATCAATTATTGCATTATATTAGTTATTAAAATGAAGCTTTAAGAGCTTACAATTCTTTTCTGTTGAGCAGTTACAGCCGTAAAGCATTATGGCAATAACACATTGCATTGCTGAAATAAAGAATCGCAATAAAGGAGTTACGACAAATGAGGTATTACAGCAAATAAGGAATTGCAGAAAATGAAACGTTGCGGCTAATGAGACATAACGACTTGTAGTAAATGAATACGACATTTAAACATTACTTTTGTAAATCAATTCTATCGTTAATTATAACCAAACACATACTTTGTTTGACATGGTTGATATAATTTTATCGAACAAATGATTTTATAAGACGATAGTTTACCAATAGAATTAGTAAATATGGTAACAGTAATGAATACAGTAACCGATAGAACGACTGTTGCAAAGAACAGCCATAAGCAACCTGTAGAAGAAACGGGTACAATAAATATGTGTAGTAGTTTAGTTTTACAAAACTAATTCAATGCAATTTTAAGACCGTCCCAATTACATGTTAATTCTACATATTGCATAAATCGTACTCTTGATAGGTTTATAAATGAATACCTCTAAAAGCATCAAAAAAAGTAACCCTGATTGGACACGGCTTTAGCCATCCTAATTACAAACGTATTGAGCTAAATATTGCCATTTTAGGCAATACAGTATAGCATGACGATCTCTAAGAATGGTACTTAACAATAATGTAGTTTTCCGCCGAAATCCGCAAATTACGCAGATGCCATTAAAGTAATTTCCATTAGTTAGTATAAAGATATCCTAACTCAGAATTGTGGTGTATAATAAAGAATTAGATTTAGATTTTATTGATTAAACTTAATCAGTAAATTTCTGGAGTAAATTTTTAAACATCTGTTTACAGTTACAATATTTCATTTTTCAAAGTTGAAGAGAATGTACAATCTACTTTAACAAGTGTGCTTTTTTGGATTATTCATTAAATTTCAATTAATATGCGTCATTGATTAAAAGAACTTATTGAATGAGCACTGACAAAATATGTACACACATACGTATGTAGTACGTAATTTAGAGATGTTATTTGTGCTTTAAATGTTTATTGAATATTATTGAATATTATTATATATTGTAACTCGAGTTATTATCTTAAAGATAAGTTAAACATTCCTTATTTTTTTAAAAAAAAATATATATAAGAGACGAGATCAATAAAGTATCCTATGAATTTACAAGAAATTATAAGCACGTGTTTTGATTCTTGTAACTATAATATTTGAATACTACACTAGGATCCTGAATTTTCATCTGATACTACATAGTTTCGATATTAGTTTAACAAGGATTTCAAATATAAATATAAATATGTACATAATATACCCTGTATAAGTTACCGTTCAAACTAAGCATAACATAGTTTCAACAATAAGAAATTGAATATTGTGGCACAGAATATTACATGCCCTAAACAGCATGTCAATGCCGCATTATTGATTTAGCTTAAAATGGAATCTTTTTTTTAAAAAAAAATTATATATTAAAGGTAAATGGAATCTTTTGTTTACAATATATAGAAAAAATCCTATTATTTGTTAAAGAAGCTACCAAGATATATAAATCCATTAGTATGGCTTTTGACCAAAATTATGGCAAATTTTGAAAACCTTCCCGATGAAATAAAAATCATTATCTTTAAATATGTTAACAATCCTAAACCCTTAGCGTTATGTTCTAGAATTTGGTCTGTCATTGCCAGAGATAGTCAAGCTAGAGCTGAATGGATTATCTATAACCATGGTCGCGCTCAAGCTCTGTTCCATGCTATTAGATTAGGACCATCATTTATTAATCTTTCTGTCGCTCAAGCCATAATTGCGAGACGTGGAATTCTATCACGATACATGATCCAAAAACTTCTCATGAACTATGGTAATTATGACAAAAAACTAATCGAACTAAAGATCCAACACAATATTGGTCAGATTGATACTGAGCGAATAAGATCATTACAAGAAGGTCCTTGGGCAAGCAATTTACAAATTTCGGTCTTTACATATTTACTAAATGAAGTGTCAAATCAATTAAAAACTCAAGATATTTGCGCAAAAAGTAATGATATGGAGCTTTTCCATTTTCTCACCGCTGGCCCCCACGTAATAAGTGACGCTCCAAAAATTTTAGAAAAAAATATTGATGCTATCAAAGATTTAATAATAAATAAAAAATTTATTCCATTTCCTCCAAGACCCCCTGGAAAATTTTACTTATCAGAAGAATATCCATCTAAAGATGGCTATGAAAATAATCGTCAACTTAATGTGATTGCACGAGCTATCTTGATTAACAAAGATTTAGTTAATATTTGGAAAAATATTGGATATAATGAGATTTGTGATGACGTAAATAATCTTGTAATGCAAGGTGCAATTTTAATTCTCTTTCCACCGACTCCTATGCCCGATTGGATTCAACCAGATACTAAAGTAGTTAATGAACGACTTGTGGAACTAATCAATCTCGGTTTTAGACTAGACTACAACGTCATTTGTGACATTCTTTACCTATTTGAGCGTAAATTAGATAAGATTGGTAACACTTTAATAGAATCATTTATTATGTTCATTAGTAAGGAATCACGTGAAACTTTTGTAGAACATTGCATGATTGAATCCTTAAATCCTAGGCGTAATTTAACTAAATTTTATGTTTGGGATTTCCTTCATACATTATCAAAAGATTACTCTGAAAACGCCTTCAAAAAAGCACTAGATTACTATTTAAAAAATGACGCAAATATTACTGTTATATCTGAAACAACAATTTTTGCCAAACTTTCATTACCATTAAAATTTTATGAATGGGCTCTTATAAATTTTGGTGTAGATTCTCAAATTACAGAACGTTGTTTCGATGATATTTTAAGAGTACGTGCTAACATAGATTTACAATTCCAACAAATCCCTGATATAGAAATTCCTATTGGAATAAATAAGCATGTGTTTCAGGCAACTTGCAATATCTTTAAAATTTATTGTAATGCGAAAAACTTTTACAAGCCATCGCATTTAAGTATTATCTCTCAATGTACCAGTATAGATATTTTAGCCCCATTATTTAAACATTACCTACCAGCATTATTTAATTTACAAATAACCTTTGAATTACCAATGCAAATTATTGAGATCATAAATAGCACGGATACTCATTATCAGAGCACATTCTCTAAGCTTACTGCTAAGATAAACAAAGATAGAAATATTATAGAGGAATGGAATCAAACATTACATACTACTTTGATGAATAATTTAAATAATACAACTAATGCATTTCAAAATTACCTTAGGGAATTTATTGAACTTTGTTAATAGGCAGCGATTTTAATAATTTAAAATAATTTTTATTTATTAAAATTAAATTGGATAGAAAATTGACATTTATTTAAATAGAATTTTTCAATTTCCAATTTTTTTAAAAAAGGTTGCAGATTCATTATGATCTGATCAAAGATTGATCTCTACGTAAGCCCTAGACATTCGACTATACAATGGGATCTTTTATAGGTATAGGTTATTTGTCGAAATTCTTAATATTGCAGTACACTTTATCACACGTATCGTTGAATACTTTCTTCCTAATGTGCACATGATTTAGTATATAGAATTTAGATAATTTAAATTTTTAATCCATTATAATCTTTGAAACCACATAAAACTACTCAGAAAATATGTATTTATAGTATAGTAATATGTAGTGGTGTAATTTTTAATTTCCCAATAAATTTAGAAAATTATATCTCTATTTATTATTTTAAATTATTGATAGAGGAATCTTGAATAAAATTCAATGGATTTCTTTACAATTTATATAAAATCAAAACCAAAAATTTGTTTATTTCTAAAAAAATATGCATAAATTTTAGTAGAATTCAATAGTTTTTTTAAATTTTTGCCTTTATTGTGTTTTAATTCAGTGCAGCTTGATTCATCAACAATCAAATCACCAACACAACACTTTACTGACAATCAATTTACCAACATGTTTGTTTTACAGACAATCAATTTACTGACACTCAATCGATAGACAAGCTGACTTAATCGACGAGCTTATTTTAATGACAATTAATTCACCGACATTCATTTTGCTGACAAGATTGAATCATCGATGAGCTTATTTTACTGACAATACATTTCACTGACAATACATTTCACCAATGAGCTTATCCAATAATTAACTTGAATTGACATAATAAAAAAATTAAATTAGTATCAAATGAGACAAAAAATCAAGTTATTTATATAAAAAAAAGAAAGAAGCAATCGATACTTGACCTAATTTGTAGCTACACAAAGACTTATTCCTGACTTGGATTTATGTAATAAAAAATAAAATAAAATTAGTATTGAGTGAAGAATCAAGCAATTTATGCAAAAAAAAGAAAGAAGAAATTGATACTTGATCTAATTTATTGCTACATGAAGACTTATTCCTGACTTGGATTTATATAATAAAAAAAAGATAAAATTAGTATTGAGCGAAGAATCAAGCAATTTATGTAAAAAAAAAAAGAAAGAAGCAATTGATACTTGACCTAATTTATAGTTACAAAGACTTATTCCTAACTCAGATTTATATAATAAAAAAAAAGATAAAATTAGTATTGAGTGAAGAATCGAGCAATTTATGCAAAAAAAAGAAAGAAAGAAGCAATCGATACTTGACCTAATTTATAGCTATGCGAAGACTTATTCCTGACTCAAATTTATATAATAAAAAAAAAGATAAAATTAGTATTGAGCGAAGAATCAAGCAATTTATGCAAAAAAAAAAGAAAGAAGCAATTGATACTTAATTTAATTTATTGCTACACAAAGACTTATTTTCGACTTGGATTTATGTAACAAAAAATAAATAATATTAGTATTAAGCGAAGAATCAAGCCATTTATGCAAAAAAAAAGAAAGAAGTAATCGATACTTAACCTAATTTATAGTTACACGAAGACTTATTCCTGATTCAGATTTATGTAATAAAAAAATAAACTAAAATTAGTATTGAGCAAGGAATCAAGCAATTTATGCAAAAAAAAAGAAAGAAGCAATTGATACTTGACCTAATTTATTGCTATACAAAGACTTATTTCTGATTCAGACTTATATAAAAAAAAAGATAAAATTAATATTGAGCAAAGAATCAAGCAATTTATGTAAAAAAAAAGAAAAAAGTAATCGATACTTGACCTAATTTATAGCTACACAAAGACTTATTCCTGACTCAGATTTATGTAATAAAAAAATAAACTAAAATTAGTATTGAGCAAGAATCAAGCAATTTATGCAAAAAAAAAGAAAG